AAATTGCACAATTAATCTCACACTCCTATTCCGAGTTGTTCCACCGTGACTGATATAAACTCACTGCCCCTAAGGTACCTCTGTAACCTTTCATGTTGCTGCTGTCACTCTGATTCCATAGGTTGTTCTTGTTTTAAATTCTGTTGAGTTCATTTTGGTTCATAAAGACCCTGTACAGGGTTTCTGAGGAGCAGCTGATGAGTTTGACACACCGACCTTGTGGTACAAACTGACTTTGAGATCCAGTGCTTATCCTACAGTGCCATACCAGGACTTCTTGATTCCATATAGATAGCGCTTAAAAAAAGCATAATGCTTAAAACAGATATTTTTACTAGTTAGACTAAACTGCTGTTTGGTTTTAAGAAGAATTCTGGGATATTTTTGGTTTAAGGTTTAAAGATGATCTCAAGATAAAGTTTCAGGGGTTCATCTAGTTTCCATGGCTCCAGAAAGTCTGGATTTCATGAGAATTTGAAATTCTGTTCTGCATATTCTATTCCTTCTTTTGATCAAGAGTATTCTATGGAATGTTCCCATCCAGTTCTGGTTTCATGGCAAAGGAGGCAGTTCAGGGAGGCGACTAGTCACACATTCCATATCCTCCTATTCCTGACCTTTTTCTCTGTTGCTCCAGGTGAATAGAAACCTATTGTGCCTTGGAGAGCCAATTGCAAGCTTTAAGATCCCAGGCACTACCCAACAAACTAGGAGACAGAACAGAAACACTGAACATGTAATTAGGCCAATAAACTGGGATGTACCATGAAACCATGACCCCATGACCTCCAAACCAAGGAACTAAATCCCCTGAGGTGTTTAGTTGTACATAAGCAACCTTAGCAGCTACCTTTTTTGGTCATTATTGTGAATCTATCTATCACACAACTTTACCCCTACAGCTTTTTACAGGCATACGACTTATTGATAGTAATTGCAATAATCATCTATCCTTAATCATTGTGATTTTTTCCATCAGCTTTACCCTCCCTTACCCCCTCCCTACCAACTTTAGTAACCACTAGTAAACTTTGTCCCCTATACATTTGCCCTCCTCCCTTTTATATGTTGTTGTTGTTGTTAAGTGTTGTCAATTTAGCTCTGCTTCATAGCGACCCTTTACAGTGTTTCCAAGGAGTGACTGGTGGGTTTGAACCACTGACCTTGTGGTTAGCAGTCCTGTGCTTATTCTACAGAGCTATATTGTTGTTGTTGCTATGTGCTGTGGAGTCGGTTCCGACTCATAGTCACCCTGTACAGGGTTTCCGAGGCTGTAAATCTTTACAGGAGCATAAAGCCTCATCTTTATCCTGCGGAACAGGTGGTAGTTTCGAACTGCTGACCTTAAGGTTTGCAGCCTGATTTGTAACCAATACACTACCAGAGCTACACACACATATATATATATATATATAAATATTCTTTTAAAATAAGAGCATACAATGTTTATCCTTTTGTGACTGGCATGTTTTGCTCAGCATAATGTCTTCAAGCTTCATCCATACTGAGACTTCATTTTCCTGGTGATTTATTAACATTCCATTATGTGTATGTACCAAGTTTTATTTATTCATTCATTTGTTGATGGGCATTTAGGTTGTCTCCACCTCTTGACTACTGTGAACAGAGCTGCAATGAACGTTGATATATGTGTCTCTTTTTGAGTCTCTGCTTTCAGGTCTTTTGGGTATATACCTATGAGTGTAATTGCTGAGTCATATTAACCATATGAGTTTTTTGAGGAATTTCCATACTGCTTTCCACAGCAGTTGTACCATTTTTTCATTTCCCCCAGGAATGGATAAGGGTTCCAATTTTCTCACATCCTCACCAACTTTTGTTATTTTCTGTTTTTGATTGCTTGTTTTAAATCTCATTGGGAGTGAAACGGTATCCCAGTGTGGTTTTGTTTGTAACTTTCTGATGGCTAAAGGCGTTGAGCAATTTTTTCTCGTGTTTACTGGCCATTTGAATGTCCTCTATGGTGAGCCATCCATTCAAGTCTTTTGCCTGTTCCGAGTTCTGATGTGGCACTGTAGGATAATCACTGGACCACAAAGTGCATTTGAACCGAAAGATTGGTGGTTCAAACTCACCTTCCCCTCCTTAGAAACTCTAGGTAGGGTGACATTGTGTCGGAACCAAATTGACGACACTTAACAACAGTGACATGATTGGGTTATTTGTCTTTTTGTTGTCAAAATTTTATATCTACTCTCTGATTATTAGATTCTTGTCAGATGTATTATTTCCAAAGATATTCTCCCAGATGGCAGCTTGTCTTTGAACTACTTTTGGTTAAAGTCTTTTGATGAACAAAAGTTTAAAAATTTTTATGAGATCTCATTAATTTCTTTTGTCTTTTGCTATTTGTGCGATTGTTATTATATTAGATAATCCGCTGTTGAAAGCTAAGCCTGGCAGCATTGCCTCTGTCCTTTGAAGAATCTGATGGTTTTAGTTTGCACATTTAGTACCTTTATTCCATTTTGAATTTGTTTTTGTTTATGGTGTGAGCCAGAGATCTTGTTTACTTTTTCTATATGCAGAAATCTAATTTTTTCAGGAGACATTTTTTATGTCATCCTCAGTATCACAAATGCATATAACACACATAATCCCTTTCTATTTATCAATTGCCTTTCAGAGAATTCCTGTCTGTGCAGGGCTCCTGGTTGGGTAGAAGCAGCTCAGGTGCTGAGGACATTAGGTAGAACTGATTTCACCTGGCGGCAGAATCGTTTGAACTTCTTCATCCTGTATGGTGGTGGTTATGTGCTGTGGAGTCAGTTCCGACTCATAGTGACCCTGCACAGGGTTTCTGAGGCTGTAAGTCTTTATGGGAGCAGGAAGCCTCATCTTTCTCCCACGGAACAGCTGGTAGTTTCGAACTGCCGACTTGTGGTTTGTAGCCCAATTCGTAACCACTATACTACCAGAGAGCTCCTTATACACACTTAGAAATAGCAACATGCCTTTCTGTTGTGAGTAACTAGTATTTAAGTATTGTTGTTGTTGTTGTTGTTAAATGCCATCAGGTCAATTCAGACCCATAGCAACCCTGTATAGGGTTTCTGAGAAGCAGCTGGTGAACTTGAACCGCCAACCTTGCAGTCCAAACTGACTTTGAAGGCGAGCGCATTAACCCACAGCGCCACACCAGGACTCCATATACCTAACTGGAAATGCTGCTACCCTCAAATTACTGCGGTATTGGAATGAGAAGAGTTATATCATGTGATCCTAGAAATGGTCCTGCAAGGTCAACTTCTAATTAAAAGATTTCAGGAAGACGGACAGCTCTTGTATGCATGCGGCGAAGCTGGATTTGACGTGCCAGAAACAGAAGCTATCGCCTCCGGGCGTTTTGAGTCACCTACTCTGAGCGTCCAGCACACAGTGCCAGGACCGCCTGCGCCACCGCCTGTCTCACGGGGTTGGGGTCCAGAGCTGTTACATTCAGAACCAATAGAGCGAACAGCTCCTCGTGCCCGGCGCCGATTGCGTACCCCGCCAGGAGTGCAGCAGGCCCCGCCTCCTCTGTCTACCTCCTCCGCTGAGGCAGCGCCAGGCCTCTGGGATCGCCGTGCAGGGCGGTGTCCGGAAGGAAAACGGGCTCCCGCGGCGCCCCCAGATCTCCACAGTCCCGCTTTCCCAGACTCTCAACTGTGGGCAGCCAGGCAAGGTGGGGGCGGTGCCGACCTGGGGTCCGCCCTCCCCACCTAGGGTCCGCCCCCGGCCCGCCCCTCAATGTGAAACGTGCTTCCAATTGGCCAGGTTTCCGGAGGGCGAGGCGGAGTCGCCTCTCACGGCTTCAGCGCGGGGAAGGTCGGCGGGCTCCGCGGGCGCAGCTGGAGGTAGCCGCTCGGAGGGCGGTGGCTGGTTGGGCCCACGGCGCGGGGTTCGCGGAGCGCGCAGCTGGGGTGCCGACGGCGGCCCCAGCCCCTCCGCACAGCCGCCGCGAGCTCGGCTCTCGCTTCGGCGCGCAGAGCGCGCGTCTGCGGCGGCTGGTGCACTCGCGGCCCGGGCGCCCGTCCCTTGGACGTCCACGGTCCCGGCCGGGCGCTGGGCAAGGGCGTCAAGACGGCGGGCCGGCTGGGGCCGGGGCGGGGGCGGTCGCTGTGCTGCGGGTTGCATTGGTGGGGGGCGGCGCGGGGCACAGGCCGGGGCGCCGGAGCAGCCGGTGCCGAGGGGCTGAGGGCGGCGGAACGCGGGCCGGCGGCGGCTGTGATGATGATGGCGGAGGGCGGTGGCGGCCCGCGGCGGAAAGCTCTGGCGCTGCTGGAGGCGGCGCGCTCCCGCTACGAGAGTCTGCAGATCTCAGACGACGTGTTCGGAGAGTCGGGCCCGGATAGCAGTGGGAACCCCTTTTATAGCACCTCCGCCGACTCGCGCTCTTCCTCGGCCGCCTCCTCGGACGATGAGGACGAGCAGACCGGTCCTGCGTCCGCCTCGGCCGCCACGCAGCGCCCGCCGCCTCCCCCGGCCTCAGAGGCGCAGCTGCAGGACGACGAGGACAGCGAGGGCTGGAGCCCCGCGCTGCGCGACCCCCCGACTCCGCGCTGTGAAGAGAGCGGCGGTAAGGGTGCGCGGGGACCCAGAGCTGGGTTGCGTGGGCGCCACCTCTGCGGTGCCGGGGATTCCTGGCGTTCCGCTGGCTGACTTGGCGTGGGCAGCTGTGCGTTTCAGGGAACAAATGAGGTTGCAGGAGCGCGGGTGTACAGTGCCGGATGGAAGCCGCCTGCGAGTGTGTGTGTGTGTGTGTGTGTGTGTCCGAATTCCCAGTCGGGGGATGGGTAAAGTGGAGGTCAGTGGAAAGGGCTTCTGAGGAGCCGTTCTTCCCTTCTGGAATTGACCCTGCGTCCTGCACCACAAACCACGCATACTTGTGAGATTACTGCTGGGAGACCCTCCTTGTGAGGGGGTACTTTTCTAAATCGGAGGACCTGAAAGACTGGCTTGCCTTTGAGGGGAAGTGGTTTTGCACCAAGGATCCACACCAGGACTCCCAGGTGTCCGGGTGGGGCATGTAGCAGCGAAAGCACAATCCAGTGAACATCCTGGAGGCCATCCCTTGTCGTCTTGACTTGATTTCGTTTTCTTCAGCTAATCTGAGAAATTTACCATGTTTATCCGATTTGGGATCTCTTACTGTGAGGTTGGCCCAGGACCAGGCAGTGTTTCGTTCTACATAGGGTCGCTATGAGTCGGTACCGACTCGATGGCACATAACACCAACAACAAGAACTAAGAGAATAGTGAAGGGACCAGCTTGGTAGTGAGTGCTAGGGTGTATGCTCTTCCTACAGGTGGTACTTTTAGATGTCTTCTGCGCGCCATTATTGCTGTGGACAGATCCCTAATAGTTGGAGAATGGCAGGCAGCGCAAACAGGAGTTGTACCGGGGCTGCTGGACGTCCCCTTTGCTTATTTCATTTCCTGGAATTGGGTTTAACACCGGGCTTCAGACCTGTTAGAACTGGTTCCATCAAGGTTGATACAGGGAAAGCTGAACTGAATTTTAAAATTGAGGGTGAAGCAGTATGAAGTTTGTGTGGAAGGCACACAAAATGAGAGTCTGTGAGGTCACACTTGTAAGGACTTTGGAGAGAGGAGACATATTTGAAACAGTGTTGTTGTTGTTGTGAAGTGCCGTCAAATAGAATCCGACCCATAGCGACCCTGTAGAGGGTTTCCGAGGAGCAGCTGGTGAGCTTGAACCACCAACCTTGCAGTTCAAACGGCTTTGCAGTCTGGCGCATTAACCCACAGCGCCAAAGCTCGACTCCTTACAACAGTGTAGGTGCTTCCATTTTTTGAGCAGGTCATCATTCTTTTCAAGTCTGTCATACAAGAAACTTGCTCGTTTTCTAAGAAGGAGAATAGGTTTCTATCAGGATGCCAAGCTGTGATTTTGCCATTTCAGGTATCAGTCTGGTTCACCCACAATTTACACATTCAGATCCATTCCAGTTTTGCTTGCTTGGCCATGACTGAGCTGGGAAGAACCAGTTCGAAGGCCTGGTTTAACACTAACATATCACTGCCATCCCTGAGAGAAAAGCTTAGCCTCCTCTGATGCTTTGTTCATTGTTGCTATCTTTGGTGGCAGGTCCCACACACCTTATCTTTTCATGGGATTGTGTGCAGCCATTGCTGATGTGGGCCTTTGAGTGCTTACCAGTCATTGGCATGATGCCTTGTCTCCCATAACTGTCTCAGATTATTGTTCGACCAGTTAGCAACAGGGCTTGCAGGAAGACATGACCAAGGGGCCCCTGACTCCTGCCCAGACTTGACTCTGCAGATCATGCTACCTCCCGGGAGTTGCGCTGAGCTGCTTCTGAGGGTCTGCCTGGACTCTCAGTTGGGAGTGGTTTGCAGACCTCAGGCAGCTGGCAGTCTCTGTGCCCTTAGAAGTGCGGTTCTTTGGGAATGGGTCCCTTTAAAAGCATGTTTACAATGGAGCTTCAGTTTGGAGTTTGGGATTTTCAGAATCATGCCATCTGTAGAATCAATTAATACTGCCCCACACTTTTCAGAATGTCAAAGATTTCCTGCTCTGGACAGCTATTTTTGTGTAGTGTTATCCCATATTGACTCTTGATGAATAATGCCAACCCAGAGTCCTGGTTCAGTAGACTTTATTTTATGTAGGTCTGAAATCTAGTTTTCAGTCTTGGAACACTTGTGAGACATGCTTTCAGTCCATCTGCAAGAATGTAGCAAGGCTTCCTGTACCCGAGGGCACAATTTTGTGGTGCATAAGGTTGCTGTTGTGAGGCTGTATCAACTTGCCAGCACCTAACAACAACAACAGATATGAGTAAGAAACGTGTTAGCGATGGTACGAGGTAGCGAACTGAAATGAGTTAAGTCAACTTTATATGTTTTAGCCTGTACATGGGAGAACTTCTGCAGCAGTGTTTAATCCAGCCACTGCAGCACTTGGAATCTTGAAGAGCAATGCCCTGTGTCATTCTATGCTAAAATTTGCTTTTCTTTGGAAGCACACCAAATCTACACTGGGACCTCAGAGTCACAGCCAAGCCCTTGATCCACAGAAATGAGTGGCTACAATCTCGATTTCCTGTTCTGTGTGGGAGCTTGCTTTTTAAATTCCTATCTAATTTTGAATTTCCTTTTCACTTTGCACCACGCTCTTCCCCTGAGGGAAATTGAGAGCAGACTGTGGAGGTGAGGTTGGTGGCCTGCTAAGCAAGAATTCAAATGGCCCTAAAATAAAGGAGTATGATTTATAGGCTGAAAATAGATTCAAAAGTGGAGCGCTGGTAAGGAGGCTTCTCAGGACCTAACAGGGAGTGAGGGATGTGCTTATGAAGAGGCTGAGAGCTGTCCCCAGCCACTCTGATGGTCAACTCTCACAGCTTCAGGAAGCCGGGTTTCTCAAAGTGCAGTGGCATCAGTAGGGTGACGTCACCCAGTGTGGTAATTCATGGTGCCCAGACCGCCTCCTGTAGCAGACCATACAGAATCCTTAGTAATGTTTGTTATGGCGCTGTACGATCCGCACTGGACTGTGAAACCACAAGGTCGGCAGTTCAAACCCTACACAGTTCAAACCCTGCTCCTTGGAAACCCTAAACAGGGTCACTGAGTTGGGACCTACTCAATGACATTTAACAACAATAATCATAGAATCATAAGTTATACGATAGCTGTGCATCAATTGTACATTACTTGTATTCCAGGTATGGCACTGCAGGATTACCACAAGGCTAGAGGTTCAAGCTCAACAGCTACTTCATGGAAACCCTGTTGCAGGGTTGCTACAAGTCAGACTCCACAGCACTTAACAACACCAACACTTGAATATAGCACTTCTTAGATACGGATATTAACAGCCAACTTGTTTTGTAAAATCTTTCTATATTGCATCACAACATTATTAGTAACTAAGTGGAAGCCTTTAAAAATTTTTTCTCCTTTTCCTTTAATTACTACTAAGTTCTTAAAAGTTAATGATATAGGTTCACAAATACTAATTACCCCAATATTGTAGCTACAACACCTCCTAGAGTTGTCCCTGTCAAAGTGGAGCCTCTAACAAACTTCCAGCGAGAGTGGGCTTCCCACCTGCAAGGATGCAACCTGGCTTTAGTCGGTCTGTGTCCCCAGCTTATTAACAAATCTTGCTGTGGCCAGGGCTGATGGGGGAGAGAGCAAGAGTGTGGCACTTCCATTTGCAATCAACTTGCATAAAAGAAAACTTGTTAAAACTTTACGTTGTTGTTAGAATCAGATGAGAAAAGCAAAGATTTCAGTGTTTGGCCAATGGGATTTCTGTCTGCCTTCCACTTTAAATAACATGTGTATTCAAGTATCTACATAGCTATGTATTGTATGTAAATGCCTACTGCTTGTACTTGGTTGGGTTGAATAGGGTTTGTTTCATCAGCAATCCATTAAAACTGGTGTCACAGCCCTTTGATGACCTTAAAACCTTTTCAAAGAGTTCCTATGATTGGATGGGATGGGGGTTGGGGTGGGGTAAGACCCTGAGGACAGTCCGTTGCATTTGATTTGAAGTTAAAATAACCATCTGACCCCATTAGGTTGCCAAACTGAGAGGGGAGGGCAGAATGAGTAAGTGCCAGCCCTTAATAGCTGCAGCCTTTCTGTAATAAGAATGGTGGATCCCAACCTCTTGGAAGGCCTTACTGTGTGGGTCTTCCCAGCCCTTGTGTTTTTCAGCCGAATTAACTTTCTGGGTCAGCCCTCTTGAAGTGCAGCCTGCAGTTCTGGATGGAGATGTCCTTATCTCGTGTGTTTCTCTCTCCTAGCTCTCTCTCTTCTCCTAGCACTTTCCTCTCTCTCTTATCCCCTGCTTTCTCCACTCTCTGCTCCTTAGTTCTCCCTGCTATCTCTCCTTTCTCTTCTCCCTCGGGTTCTTGATGTGATTGGAGGTGTTGCCCTCCACCCTTCCAGATTGTGTGACAACCACGGCAATGATTCAGCTGTGTGAGCAGGGCTGGCTGGCCAGCTTTTAACTCCTGTGTAGGTGGAGGATCAGTATGGGGACAAAAAATGCTAACTGGAAGCTCAGAGCTCACAATCTTCTCTGAACCAACTGGCAACAGAGTCCCCTAAAATAGCCTGCAAGCTGTTGTCTCTGCCTGTCCCCATATGATAACACTGCATGTGAGCTCACTCTTTGGATGGAAACAGCATGAAAGCTAAGGCCTGGCTGCTTTGGGGCTGTTCCCCTTTTTTTTTTTAATCTAAGCAGTCTTGTGATTCATACCCTGTGAGAAGGCAAAGGAAAAAGTAGATTCACAGATCCTCAAGGGCTGGCGTCTGTCTGGCTTTGTCAGTCTTTGTAGTAGCTGGCTGGGATCTGAGTGATTCTGCTTTTTATATTAGAGGTATGGACTTTGTGGAAGAGTTTCTCATGCACTCTGCCAACGGTCTCTGTAATCTTTCAGTGAGGAGTTAAGACCTTGGAAACTGGAGGAACATGCATACGGTGTTGAAAATGGACATTGCTGGATGCTTTATCTTTAGGCTTTCTTGTTGGTTTACTTGCCTGAAAATCTTTTAGACTAGAACCATCTTTGA